GCATGAAGTCTAGTTTAAAAACATTTTTTTACTGTTATTCTTCACTACCATGTGCTCACAGGAAAACAAAACACCTAGTTTCACTTAGGAATGTCCCTGATGAAGCAGTACTTTTATTAAATCCTGAGCCTTGAGTAAAAACTCTTTTTAGTATATGTGCTACCAAAGTAAGCACGTACATTTTTTTCTAATATTCCATGTGATGGAAGTACTCATAAAGCACTCGGCTGCATACCTAAGAACAATGGTTGTCTTGAGATAAAGCACTTGTACTACCATTTGAGTTATGAGCTCAACTAGCCATTTGTCGTGAAACACCTTTTTCACTTAAATGAATGATTGACAAACTATGGTATTCACGTGTGTGTATCTGAAAGATATTTTCTCAAAAATTCATGAGGCAAGTCTGTTACTTCAAGGAAAATAATTGATAATACTGTTAGAGATGATGAAATTGGAACTTTTAAGTGGAAATTAGAATTTTGGAAACCTCATATTCACGTCCGTGAGCTTGATAGCTTGCTGATGCTTAAGGACTTTTATGATGAGTGATCATATTAATTACTGTGATTTTTAAAAAATAGTATAATGATATATTACAATATTTGGAAGATCTGTATAACTTAGTGAACCGATATTTTCCAAATGACCAATATATGCTATTATAGAATCAATCATATATGGGTAAAAGATACATTCAAAATGAAAGGTCAATTCATTTCCTTGATATGGTCTTAGATTCCAAATTGCAACTAACCTTTAAGAAACTATTACTTGTTGGGGTGCCTGGGTGGCTCAGTCAGTTAAGCCTCTGACTTCATCCAGGTCATGATCTCACAGCTCCTGGGTTCGAGCCCAGTATCAGGTTCTGTGCTGACAGACACAGATTCTGTGTCTCCCTCTCTCTCTCTGCCCCTCTGTGGCTTGTGCTCTATCTCTCTCTTTAAAAAATAAATAATAGGGGTGCCTGGGTGGCTTAGTTGGTTAAGCATCCGACTTTCGCTTAGGTCATGATCTCGCGGTTCATGGGTTTGAGCCCCGCGTGGGGCTCTGTGCTGACTGCCAGCTCAGAGCCTGGAGCCTGTTTCAGAGTCTGTGACTCCCTCTCTCTCTGACCCTCCCCTGCTCACGCTGTCTCTCTCTCTCTCAAAAATAAATAAAACATTAAAAAATTTTTTTAAATAAAAAATAAATAATAAACATTAAAAAAAACAAAGAAAAAGAGAAAGAAAATTATAATCATTGAAATACACTAAAGAATAAGCTATTACTTGTTGAGTTTTGGTGTAATATTAAAGAAAAATATCCACAATGATCTATAAAACCTATTAAAATATTCCTTCTTTTCCCAGCTACATCTTTGTGGGACCAGACTTCCTTCATATATTTCTTTTTTTTTTAATGTTTAATTTATTTCTGAGAGAGAGAGAGATAGCATGAGCAGGGGAGGGGCAGAGAAGAGAGGAAGACACAGAATCGGAAACATGCTCCAGGCTCTGAGCTGTCAGCACAGAGCCTGACGTGGGGCTCAAACCCACAAACCGCGAGATCATGATCTGAGCCGAAGTCGGACGCTTAACCAACTGAGCCACCCAGGCACCCCTCCTTCATATATTTCCATCTAAACAAAATGTCACTACATTGAAAGGAGAAGCTTATATAAAAATCCAGTTTTCTATTATTAAGTCAAACATTAAAGATATTTGTAAAAAGGAGAAATGCCACTCATCTCATTTTTAAATAATACATCTATTTTCATTAAAAACATTCTATTAACATGTAATAAATTTATTCTAAGTATTTTTAATTAAAAAAACTTTTTTTTTTATTTGAGAGAGAGGGAGCATGAGCAGGGGAGAAAGGCAGAGGGAGAGAGAGAGAATCTTAAGCAGACTGCACAGAACTCAACACCAGGCTCAATCTCACAGGCCTGGGATCATGATCTGAGCCAAAATCAAAAGTTAGATACTCAACCAACTGAGCCACCCAAGCGCCCCTCTAAGTATTTTTTGATGAATTAATGTTTTTAAATGTTTCTTTTAATTTTTACTACGTAAGTAAATATATATATCTAAACCCATATAAAGGTTTTTGAGATATTCAACAATTTTTAAGAGTGTGAAGAGGTTGTAAGACCAAAAACTGTAAGAACCACTATTCTAAAGAGTTCTCCAAACTTGAGCTGGTCTCCTTTCACTGTTTATAGATATATAGTGCTCAGGGCAAAACTACAATAGAAAATTAGCACCTTCTAGTCCATTTAGGCAATGGAACATTGTTTAGGAGGATCTTCAGGAGCTAGAGTTAGTTACAGTTCGTTCTCACAGTAACAGGTAAGTCTAATAGAGTAGGGGACATGGAGTTCAAGAAAGACAAGTCAAAGACCTTTCGGGAAAGAGAGGCAGCCAACTCTGAATCAAGGAAAAATAAAGAGCCACCCCCCCCCCTTTTTGGTACATCTATATGCCTACATGCTATTATTAGTAGACATTAAAGTTATTTGCTTCATTCAAAGCATTCAAAAGATTCCCCCCCCCAAACTTCTTTTGATTAAGAATCCTGTTTGCTCTTGATATGTGTGTCTCTATGAATAGATTAGGGAGAAACTTGTCCTTTTGTAATTAAAAAAGACAAAAAGGGAGTTGCAGTTGGGTCTCACCATCGACCCACAATTTCTGCTCAAGGGGGGATAGTAAAAAGTGTTAGAACTGAGGTGCCTGGGTGGCTCAGTGGACTGAGCATCCAACTTGTGATTTCGGTTCAAGTCATGAAGCCATGGTTGGTGGGGCTGAGCCATGCATCGGGCTCTGTGCTGGCAGTGGGAGCCTGGTTGGGATTCTCCCTCTCCTTCTTTTTCTCTCAAAATAAATAAACTTAAAAAAAAAACTGTTAGAAGAGTCTACTGCTCCTGGACTGGTAGCATGATCAACTTCCTAAATTTAGCTTTAAGATCAATGTGGGAATCCCTCAGTTGTCTGCCTCCTTTCCAATCAACAAGCAAACAAAGCCAGACCTGAGGTTCAGTCTGAGGGTAAAAAAAAGTCATGTATATACCTGAATATTGATGGGCTCTGAATTTAATAAAGAATAAAAACCAGGAGAATCCATTTGACCCATTTCAGCCTCTTGATGTACTGAAATTTCCATCTCACTGTGACGAAAAGAATCAAGGTATGATCTAACTCAAAAATGGGTTGTTATTCAAGAAGAAAGGGAAAAAATAGGGACCATTTCTAGCTTCAGATGGGACTATTTCTGAAAATAGGAGACGGAGCATCGCCAGTGAGGTTAAAGCAAGAACTGCCGGGAATCTCCCAGTAGGCTCTTCAGTTATTGTTCTGATCATTGCAGGAAGCTTCCTGATACCATTTTCTATATCCACCCAGGCCATCTTGGTCACAAACTACCATTTATCTTCCTCCAGACTTTCTTATGCGTGAGGAATGTGTGAGGAAAGTAAAGAATGACAATTTACGTGAACCCTGGAGTCAGCCTGCCTGGGTCTGATCTATTGTAATGACCCGGGGCCACCTCTGGAAGCCTCAATTTCCTCCCCTTAAAATGGAAAGGGTGACAGCCCTTTATAAGGTTCTTGTTAGGATTAATCTAAGATAATGCATACAAAGCATTTAGCACAAGACACGGAGCATACTAAGTACCTAATAAACAAAAGTCATTCTCACGGCGATTCTTTGCTTCCTATTCCCATCCGTGAGCAGTTTTTTCCCCATTATTTCTCAACATAACCCTTTCTTTCAGGACTGTTGATCTCGGAGGCCTCTGGTCCCTCATATCCCTGAGTCATCATCATTAAAATGCCGGATTTCTGAAGTCATTCCTCCCCCTCCTGCTCTCTAGGGCTCCCTCTCCTGTCTGCTTAGCTCTGGTGGGGGCCCAGACCTAAATTCCGTGACCACGAGTCTCTGTCGGGGCTCGGCCTTGGAAGAACATCCCCACTCCTCTTGGAGACCACCTAAAGTGCGACAAAACTGATCCCCACTAGACTGTGAGAAACGCTCCAGACCACGAGTGGCGCGAGCCGGGAGGTGAGGCCTCGCGCCGAGGTGAGAACGAGGCCAGGGGCGGGGCTGTGCTCGGAGGTGAGAGCGAGGCCACACCCCGAGGTGAGCGTGCCGGGGGCGGGGCCCCATCCGACGTGATCGCGAGGCCGGGGGCGTGGCCGCTCCGGGGAGCCGCCCGAACCCTTAGGGATGCGCCAGCCACCTCCCCAGGCGGAGCGCGCAGCCGCCTCCGGGTTTGTGAGGCAGCGCAGGGGTTAAGGCCGCCGGCGCCACCTGGGCGCCGCTGAGGAGACCCGCGAGCCGGCGAATCCCGCGCGGGCGCGGGGAACAGGTGCCCGCGCGCGTCAGGCGCCGGCAAGGGGCGGGGAGAGGGGGCGCGGCCGGAAGCCCGGGGCGGGGTGCGGCCGGCCCGGTGAGCGGGAGGAGCCGAGGGAGGCAGGAAGGAGCTCGCCCGGCTGCGCGGCGCGCGATGTGGAGCCGCCGCCTCGGCGCCTGCAGCAGCCGCCGCCGCCGCCGCTGCTGCTGGGGCTGCCGCCGAGCCGAGGGACATGGAGCGCGGCTGCAGAGAGCGGCCGCCGGCAGCAGCAGCAGCAGCAGCGAGCGTCACAGCGACAGCGGAGCGCAGCCCGCCCGGTGAGGCGCTGCCCGGCCGGCGGCGGCAGCGGCAGCAGCAACAGGGCGGCTGAAAACTCGGCGGCGGCGGCAGCGGCGTTCCTCGCAACCTCCCCTCCCGCCTCGCCGCCCCACGGTCTTCCCTTCCTCAGCCTTTCCCTTTGCCACCCCCTCCTCCTCCCTAGCGCGCGCCGAGCAGCTGAGCCCCGGGGGCGGGGGGAGGGGGCGCGTGCCGCCGGCGCGGGGGAGGGGCGGGCCGGCGCGCGCCGCGCCCAGGGCTCGCGGGGACCCGGGGGGCGCGTGCCGCGGCGCGGGGCGAGGCGCGGGGCGCTGGGCGGCGCGGCGGGGCCCCTCCCCCCTGCAGCCTGGCGCGCGCCGGCCGGGCAGCACCGCTGCGGGCTCCGCGCGCGCGGGCCATGTCCGCCTTCTGCCTGGGCTTGGCCGGCCGCGCTTCAGCACCCGCCGAGCCGGACAGCGCCTGCTGCATGGAGCTGCCCGCCGCGGCCGCGGACGCAGTCGCGAGTCCAGCCGCCGCCGCCCTCATCTCCTTCCCCGGGGGCCCCGGGGAGCTGGAACTGGCGTTAGAGGAGGAGCTGGCGCTGCTGGCGGCCGGGGAACGGCCGTCCGACCCCGGGGAGCATTCTCAGGCCGAGGCCGGGCCTCCGGCCGAGGGGTCCGGACTGCAGCCGCCGCCCGCCCAGGATCCCGAACTGCTGTCGGTGATCCGGCAGAAAGAGAAGGATCTGGTGTTGGCGGCCCGGCTGGGCAAGGCGCTGCTCGAGAGGAACCAGGACATGAGCCGGCAGTACGAGCAGATGCACAAGGAGCTGACAGACAAGCTGGAGGTGAGGACGTCCCTCGTGGGATGGGTGGGAAGCAGGGGGAGCCCGCCCGGCCCTAGGCAGCTTCAGCTTCGGGAGCCACCCACCCTACTCCTTCCTTACTCACCCCGGCTTAACAGAAAACCACCTGGAGGGAGGGGTCGGGTGGAGGGTTTCGAATTATCCGATCAGGGCAACATTGAATCCACCTGACTTCAGCAAATGGGTCCACGCGCCGCCCCAGCCCCGCTGTGGGCCATTCTATATATGCACTGTACACAGCATCTAAAATAGAGCTTACAGTATGACTAATTTATACAGCGCCGAGGTGATGTCTGCACACAGAGAAATGAGAAAGTCGGGAAGCATTTAAAATATGTTCCAGGTTTTCGGGGTAGTTAATCTCTAATCAGGGTGTTAGCCTTAAAGCCTTCCAGTTTTGGCGTCAAGGCCTCCAGATGCCCTTGTCTTAACTTCCCGACAGCTCAGAGTTGTGGGAAACAAGTGCCCCTCAAGCAGCTTTATATAGCCTTCAGATATTCAGGGATTAGGAAATGTGGTTCCATTGCAGAAATCAGGCAAGCCTGGGCTCAGCATGTGACTGTTGGTAGTGGATTTAATTTGGACCTTGACATTTAGGTGTATTTTGTATTTAAACAGTATGCTTTTTTTGTGTGTGTTCTGGGCCTCATGCATGTAATACGGTGGCCAAATGCAATCTTTGAGAACCATATTACCTTAACTATTATAAATACCTCCTAAAGTATGTAAGATTTCTGCCAGTTTTCTGGACCAAAGTCTTTTGGAGCTATGCTTGTTTTCTTGCCCTTTACTGGGAAAGGGCCTTTAAAGTGGTATGGAATGCCAGCCTTTGTAAAAATTAGAGAAAAAAATTTTTAAAGGGGGTGGAGGGTATCTTTAGCAGTGGAGATGAGCTAAATTTTTTCTGCCTGTGCATTTACTATTGTTACTCAGTTTGGTTGCAACCAGTTCTTTTTGTTCTTAGTTACAAGAGAATAGTACAGACCTGAATAAGGTCTGAAATTGACTCTAGTCTCCTTCCATATCACTGCTGCTGGTTGAACAGTCAGAATGTAAATCCAGAAACTTTTCTATAATAAGATTTAAGTATGTGTTTGTAGTCTAACGACATATCAGAAGTAAATCAGGGAGCAAAAAGGAAACCAGTTGAGTGCCCTGTAGTTCAGTTGGCCTATTAACTAGGTCTGCCAGTTGATGAACTCCTGAGATACCTGTCTGAAAAGTGGTTTATGAAACCTATAGGTAGACTGCCAAAAAGCAACCCAATGAATTGAATTGTTTAATTTTCACTTGAAGTAGAGGTCTAGAAATAAAAGGTTGTGTTTTTTTTTTTTAAACGGGATTCAGTTACACGACTCTATATGGAAGTACTACTGCAGAGATTTATACTTGTGATTTGAAATTCCTTCAGTGAGGGACTTGATTGAGGAAACAGCTAACTTGAAAGGAACATCGTATCAGTCAGTTTGATTAGTGATGGATTTCGGAGTAATCCTGAGTGCAGTTACACACCTCCTGGGTTCCGTGTGGAGCCTTTATACATTTCTTCCACAAAGGAGAAAGATTTAAAAATTCTTTAACAAGAAGGGTTCAATTGTGGAAGAATAAATTACCTTTGACTTTTTGCTGTTAACCACATAGACAGTAATAAAATAGTTTAAAGCTCTTAAATTAGCTCGTAAAATCATCATTCCTCTACAGGTCACCATACGAACTCCAGTGTATATTTTGATTTCTGGAGGGTTGGTTGCACAATAGTGTGAATGTACTTAACACTACTCAACTGTACACTTAAAAATGGTGAAGGTGATAAATTTTATGTTCTGTATACTTACATTTCTAGACTTTGTTTAAAAAGCGAAATATATTGATCGTTACTGAACATGAGTATTGGAGGGTTCAGTTATACTGTTTTTTCAAGGTATATTTTCATGTATATCTCAAGGAAGATTATCATTAACAATTTTTAGGTTTTTAAAAACACATTTAAAAAGATCTCATAAAAATATTGTCATTAGTTCCTTGTTAATTCTTGTTAATATGAGAGAGACAAACCTAATTAACAGAGGACGATTTCATTTGATACCTGCAAGTGAATTTTCCTCACAGCATATATTTTCTTTAACATTTTTTTTTTAAAAAGCTTATTTTGAGAGAGTGAGCGAGCACAAGTGGAGGAGAGGCAGAGAGAGGGAGAGAGAATCCCAAGTAGGCTCTGAGCCCTCAATGCAGTGACTGAGCCACCCAGGTGCCCCAACTCAGTATATACTTTAAGCAGCCTAGATTTTTAGAATATCTGCTTAGGGACAAAATATTTTATAAAGTTTAACACTGCCATGCTATATTTTCAATTTAAGAGTAGAAAACTAGCCTTTACTTTAAAAAGCATTTGTAATTTTCCACAAACTGTCAGTGGAGTCAAACACATTTTCTCACAGGTTGATTTGAAAGATTAACACTTGGGGCGCCTGGGTGGCTTAGTCGGTTAAGCGTCCGACTTTCGCTTAGGTCATGATCTCGCGGTTCGTGGGTTCGGGCCCCGCGTCGGGCTCTGTGCTGACTGCCAGCTCAGAGCCTGGAGCCTATTTCAGAGTCTATGTCTCCCTCTCTCTCTCTCTGACCCTCCCCTGCTCGCACTCTCTCTCTCTCTCTCTCTCCTAGAAATAAATAAAAATATTAAAAAAAAAAAAAACCTTTAAAAAAAGAAAGATTAACACTTAAGTGGAGTCTGAGAGAGAATGCTGGTTTCACTATTAAATAGTGAGACTGGTCTTGTTTTAGTTCCCTCTGTTCCCTTACTACAAAATTGGCACCTTTCTAACTTCAGAGCAGTAAGCCATTGTCAAGATTTTTTTCTACCTGTTCACTAGTTAATATGGAGTGCCTTTCCAAAGGTATTCTGTGTGCCAAACCTAAGATTTTGTTTTGTCATTTAGGGGCGCCTGTGTGGCTTAGTCGGTTAAGCGTCCGACTTTCGCTTAGGTCATGATCTCGCGGTTCGTGGGTTCGAGCCCCGCGTCAGGCTCTGTGCTGACTGCCAGCTCAGAGCCTGGAGCCTGTTTCAGTCTGTGACTCCCTCTCTCTCTGACCCTCCCCTGCTCACGCTGTCTCTCTCTCTCTCTCTCCTAGAAATAAATAAAACATTAAAAAAAAGTTTAAAAAATTTTGTTTTGTCATTTAAAACATAAAATACCAGCTCTTATACTGCTCTCTTATTAAAGGCACACTCTTTAAAGTCTTTAATGGCTTAAAGATTAACATAGCATTTTTTTGGCTATGTATCTCTTAGGGTTAAAATGAAGATTCAATTTAACTTAAAAGACTAGAATATTGTGGTCATTTTTTCCCACTCTTAAATTGACTATATTGTATTTTATTTGTTCACAGAATTCTCTTTTCATATGCTTAAAGTTCTACAGTTATTTTTTTAAGATTTTATTTTTTAAAGATCTTTTTTTAAAATTTATTTTGAGAGAGAGACAGCGCTAGTGGGGGAGGAATCGAGAAAGAGGAGAGAGGGAATCCCAAGCAGGCTTTGCATGGTCAGCACGGAGCCAGATGCAGGGCTTGAACTCACAAACTATGAGAAATGACCTGAGCTGGAAACCAAGAGTTGAACACTTAACCAACTGAGCCACCCAGGTGACCCAAGATTTTATTTTTTTAAGTAATCTGTACATCCAACATGGGGCTCAAATTCACAACCCTGAGGCCACGAGTCACACTCCACCAACAGAGCCAGCCAGGTGCCCCTAAAGCTACTTTTTAAAATTTATTTTTTCTGCACCTACAAATGAGATCTTTTGCTTTTAAATCTTATATCCAGCCAGGTCCTTAGTTTTTTCCCCGGAGTGTGAACTAAGAGAGTAACTTGGGTTTATATACTTTTTTCTTCAGAAATTAAACATTTTTTAGTTTCTATTGTTTTTAACATGCAAGATCCCCCTTTTTCCTATTCCAGCTGAGGGTAGATTATCTCTTACTGCATGCAGAGGTAGTCTTTTATCTCAACTACATTTTCTTCTTCCTTCTGCAGGCCAATTCTTAGAATTCTAGTACTATTTTTTTTTTAAGGGCAAAACAAATGAAAGTGATCACCTAATGAGAGTCACAAGTAGATTTGGGGGAGGCAAATCCAGAGGTCCTTATTTGTATACAGTTTGGTCCACTTAAAAAAAAATAGTAGGGCACCTGGGTGGCTCAGTTGGTTAAGCAAGCATCTGACTTCGGCTCAGGTCATGATCTCACAGTTCGTGGGTTCGGGGCCCGTATCGGGCTCTGTGCTGACAGCCAGCTCGGAGCCTGGAGCCTATTTCAGATTCTGTGTCTCCCTCTCTCTCTCTGACTCTCCCCTGCTCATGCTGTTTCTCTCTCTCTCTCTCTCTCTCAGAAATAAATAAAACATTAATTTTTTTTTTTAAATAGTACTTTTTCTTTGTGTTTTTCAAGAAACATATCCTGGACTTAAGAGAATGTTTTTTTTTAGTTCTTGGCAGAAATCCATTTTCAGTAACACCCAATTTTAGATTGACTAATAATGTTCACTTTATTTTTCAGAGTTTTAAATAAACCTTTTTTTAAGAATGGTTTCAGATTTACAGAAAAAATGGAAAGATGGTACAGAAAGTTTGCATATGTCCTGCACTCAATTTCCTCTGTTACTAACATCTTAAATTATCACGGCACACTTGCCATGATTAAAAACCCATTACTGATACTCTGTTAACTGAACTCCTTCATTTATTCAGATTTCCTTAGTCTTGATGTACGGTATTTTTCTGTTCCAAGATTGCATTCTGGATATATTACATTCAGTTTTTCTATCTTCTTAGTCTTGTCTTTGCTGTGGCAGTTTTTTTTCATACTTATTTATTTTGAGAGAGAGTGAGAGTGCATGTGCTTGAGCTCGAGGGAGGGGCAGAGAAAGAGAGAAAGAGAAGAATCCTAGGCAGGCTCCACACTGTCAAGCTCAGAGCCTGATACAGGCTGGATCTCATGGACCATGAGATTATGACCTGAGCTAAAATCAAGAATCAGATGTTTAATGACTGAGCCACCCAGGTGCCGCTGCTATGACACCTTTTTAGACTTTCCTTGTTTTTGATGACCTTAACAGTTTTGACGTTAACATTTCTTCTTTTGTTTATTGAGGTATAATTGATATTAATTTCAGGTGTAGATGTTAACTTTAAAATAACATGGAACATAGAATAACACATAATATATAAAATGACATATGATGTAAATAACATATAATCCCTGATCTCCATACTTCCTAATATGCTACCTAGAGTTTTCTGGTTAACTTAACACTTAATGAAAATACAATCCTAAGAAATCTTTCTTTTATTAGACAAAAGGCTAAATTCTTTCTGTTCACTAATAGGAAAGTCTTGACGCCTTTTTCAGTGCTGGGAAACCTGGATTAGGAAGTTTGTCACATGACCAAAGAAATCTAAGGACAGAATAGACTGATCAGCACCACCTGTCTCAACCCCTCCCCCAGCTCCAAGTGGATTGGATTGTTTTAGTTGCTTAGTTGGGCTGTTCATAACAGCTGTTTGCTGAATATTTTTAAGTCTCTCTGTTCTTTTAGAACACAAGCCTAATTTATCTGGCCTCTCAGTAACACTGTGATTACTGAGTTCTTGCTGTTGCCTTCTGCTCAATCTTTTTCATTTTGGAAAAACTGAATAAAACCAAGTATCACAGTTTTAGGATTGCAATTAGCATTTGTTTCTGCATTTCATCTTTCTGAAGTCTCTAAAGTGAAGTGAAGTGACTAAAACATTCTCATTTTTGGAGTTTAGCAAATATGAGGGAAGCACAGAGCAGAAAGTTCTTAGGCTGATGAGTAGAAGCCCCTCCCTTATCCTTCCTTTCCGTGCATGCTCTAAGCTGAGGTTCTATAAAGTACAACTATAATGTGACTTTTTCAACAAACATACTAGAGTGACTATATCTGAGTGAGTTATTTCCCAGAGTGGTCGACCTGGGGGGGCCATACATTTCTTTCAGTAAAAACTGCCTTTGCTAATGTGATCAGATTTTTCATTTTGGGTTACTGATTTTATCTTTTGGCACGTTATTTTGATTGCTCTGTCATGGTAAATTTTCATCTTTTAGGAACAAATTTGACTTTCAGAAACGTTAACAAGTCACTCAGAGCAAAAAAGGGGAATAAGATGTCAGGGTGAAATGGGCTAATCTCTTTTTTAGACATATCTTAGATGTGAAATAATGTGACTGATTTTCATTTTCTTGTGTAACTATACACTTACCCTTAATGCTTTCCAAAATAATTACTCCAAAAAATATTCAAAAAGTGAGAACTTGGATAGAATAAGAGTGCAACTTCCCAAGTAGAAGAAATGACCGGGGGGTGGGGGGAGGGGTGACAGCGTGCCTGGGTGGCTCAGTTGGTTAACCAAGTAGAAGAGATGACAGAGTATTCTGAAGAAGATTATATGTTCATTTTAGCTTGTTGAAACAGTCTCAGTGCTCGGTATCAACCTTTAGTGCATCAGAATTTCCTGTAGAGCCAGTATAGATAGATAGATGGGTAGAGAGATGCATGCCTAGGCTTCATCCCATTCTTAACTAATCACGAACTTTGGGATTGGGGTCCAGGTGGGTATATTTTCAACAAATATATCAGCTTTTCTGAGAGCCCCCTCTTCAATTGAGCATTAACTTCTAATATACTCCTCAGGGTATAGACTTTGGTTTTTTTGTACTAATATGCTTTTTAAGTAGAAAATACTTGCCTCTGTTAAGGGACATGCATTTTTATCTCACAGAAACAAAAAGAGGGGCACCTGACTGGCTCAGGTGGAAGAGGATGCGACTCGATCCAGGGTCATGAGTTCAGTTCCTGCATTGGGTGTAGAGATTACTTAAATAAATAAAACTTGAAGGAAAAAAAAAAAAGAAAAAGGTATTCTTACTTCTTTCAAAAGAATCCTTTTTTACTGAGGTGCTGCTTCAAGCCATCTGTACTTTGCATACCATTTGTCACACACAACTTATTTTTTTTAAGTTTATTTATTTTGAGAGAGAGAGAGAGAGACAGCACAAGTGAGGGAGGAACAGAGAGAGAGAGAGGGAAAGAGAATCTTAGACAGTCTTCGTGCTATGAGCATGAAACCTGATTGGGGCTCAAACTTATGAACCATGAGATGATGGCCTGAGCAAAAATCAAGAGTCGGACGCTTAACTGACTGAGCCACTAAGGTGCCCCACAACTTACTACTTTTATCAGTCTCTCCCAATAGAATGAAAGTTACATAAAGGCAAGGACCATGTCTGTTTTACTTTTCACTATATCTCCAGCATAGTGGCTGACCCATAGCAAGTACTCCTCAAGAATAAATGAATGGATCAGAAATAAATGTGTAAAGCTGATTACCCATGATTTAAAGTAGACCTAAAGCTAACCTTGCTTGATATCCGAATATAATGCTATATATCGCAACAAATATTTATTGAATTGTGATTTAGAGCACTAAACAGAGTCAGATGACTTAAACACAAATCCCAGCTCTGCCATTTACTAGTTTGACCTTGAGCTCGTTACCTGACCTCTAAACGTATGTTACCTCATTTGTAAGAAAAGATGGTTAATCTGAAGGATCTCTGGAGTTCTTTCCATCTCTGAAAATTCTTTGATTCTAAGTGCCTGGTATTATGCCAGGCATAATAGCTGATTCCAAAAGAAGCCTTCTTAAGGACATGTGTTGTTTAAATATATAATTTACCAGTTAATTAGATGACTTGCTGAATTTTAAGTGAATTCCTAAGTCCACAGTCCCATGCCCAAGGACAAGAATAAACACAGTAATATCAAGCATTTTTAATAAGAATGGCATTCTTTTTGTGAAACCAACTCCTTCCCTTCTCTATAAGAAGGGAGTGTTTTTGTAGCTGTGAAATAGGCAACTTTTCCCATGTGGCAGAGTGTTTTGTTGTGCTGACTGGGAAGAAGAAAAGTTAGGAGAGTGTGAAAAGAGAAAAAAAGCAAAGGCTGTGAATTTTTAACAGTTTTTAAATCCTTTTCACTTCTCACCCAGCACTTAGAACAAGAGAAACACGAACTAAGAAGACGATTTGAGAACCGAGAAGGGGAATGGGAAGGGCGCGTGTCAGAGCTGGAGAGTGATGTGAAACAACTTCAGGATGAGTTGGAGAGGCAGCAGGTTCATCTACGGGAAGCAGATCGAGAAAAAACACGGGCTGTCCAGGAATTATCAGAACAGAACCAGAGGTTATTGGATCAACTCAGCAGGGTAAGCCACAAGTTAAGAATTTATGGTACAAAATAGTGAAAGTTGAAACCAAAGCTGCCATTTGATGTCGATCATACATATGGTAAAAGTAGTTTTTGTTGCCTTTGATGTTGATATCAAGCTGAATAATTTTCACCTATGAGAATGTTAGCTGTGTGAACTAGGAGTCAGGAGCCAAAAACACTTAACTGTCATTAATCAGCTGTGAGACTTTGACAATCACTTAACTTGGGAGAGTTTTCATTTTTAAGATGAAAGAGTTGTGCCTAAGAATTTCTGACATTCGGTATAGCTCTAAAAGTCTAGGATTCCTTTGCCTAGAGAAAGTCTGTCATGGATAAAATTATGTTAATGAATTTAGTTCAGATATTAAATGGTACCATCTTTAAGCTCAAAAGCTTGGGGAAATTAGAGCAAATGATTTTCAGTGATGCTACATTTGTGAATGTACATTTCTTCATATTATTTAAATATGAAAAGAGGTATATGTTTATTTAAAATTGGTTCTTTTTTATCCTATTAAGTAAAAAGTTCTTGTGCCTTTATAGGATTGTATTATGGCAGTATTAATTAACTAGGATCAAGACTGAAATCACGGCAAAGAGGGAGGGCTGAATAGGTACAAATCTTATTTATATACAGAACATACCTTTTTAACAAATGCAGGAATGTTATGAATGCTCTGGTCTCTAAATCCATCCACTTTTCAAAATTAAGAGTGGGATTTACTATGGCACCTCAGTCCTTCTTATGTGTTGAAAATAAAACTATTAACTTTTTAGTTATCAGAGGAAAAAAGAACTTCTAGTCTGATCTCATCTGTAGGTCATGCTTTGGTCTTTGGAAGAGGCTTAGCTAGAGCAGCACATGGAAAATTCTTGGCATTTCCACTAATTCAAGGGTAACACCGTATGAAGTCATTTAGTTTGTCATAGTTGGTTCCCATGGATACTCTGAGATGGGTCAAAACCTTCATGCCTCACTAGGAAGTGTGAGGTGAATGCTAACGCTAGGGAAAGGGGCAAGGAGAGGTAGAGGAGAGAATGGAAGGAGGGAGGAAGGAGAGGGAGACAGGGAAGGCACAAGGAAGGGGAAAAAGAGATGCCTAATAACTTAGAAAATAGCTAGCTGCAGGACATAGTGACACATGTAAAAGGTAAGAATCCACATGATAGGCAGAAATAGAGGTCTTGCCTTCCCGTCTAGGGGATTAAATCACCATTTGATTGACCGGAAAGAAAGAGTTGGACAGTTCTTCAAGAAGTCATTTCAAGGCCAGTTCAGTAATAGCATTTCTGACTCCTTTCTAAAACCTTTTGCAGCAAATGGGAAGGGAATCTCTATCCTTATAAGATTTTTCAGGTTTTGAGTGTTCATTCATTATTCATGAAAGATTAAGTTAACTGGACAGGCTAGTCAGATTGATTTATTTATTCAGCATTTATTTAATACTTATTTTGAGTGGGTTTGTGAGATCAAGCCCTGCATCAGCCTCTGTGCTGACAGTGAAGAGCCTGCTTGGTAGTCTCTCTCCCCCTCTCTCTGCCTTCCCCACAAAAGAAAAATAAATATTAATATTTATTCTGAGCAAGTGTCTTTTATGGAAGCCTATGAAAAGAATGCAACAAACCAAAACAATTAAAGGAGAAATTATCTCTTGGGAGTAAGTTCATGTTATAAAATAATATGAGCAGAAACAGACTCAATTCTGCTTTCTGATCTGGTGAAAGATAGGTGGCCAAAAGAAGTGAAGGGAGAAAGTAAATATTAAACATGACATAGCAAAAGAGCATAGAGCTTAGAATTTAGATGCATATTGAATCTTGACCCTGCTTCTCATTGACTAGTTGACGTTTGTGCCTCACTTTTCTAATCTTTAAAATGGGATAAAAGTCTATACCTTATACAAGTACTGTTGAAACAAAAATAAGATAATGTGTCTTTGTAATGCTGCAGTATATGAAGGTGAGGATTTCAATGATAATGGTTGTTTTAATAAAGCATTATCTTTATAGTTGGAGTTCCTTTGCCTAGTTTCTTTGTAGAAAATCCTGATAAGCTGTTTTCAAAAGGATATAGGGGGATAACATTTCCACTAGATCTAGATTCTTGTTATCCTCTTTGGCCTTGAATGTAGGTCCTTGGTGAGTTTTGTGGCTTTTTTTTCCCTTTCTCTTTTTAAGCAGGACAAGCCCCTGGGGTTTCTATCAGCAGCCAGTTTAGATTGTATTTTATTATTTTATTAACTGGGTATTCAGGAACTAAAGGAGTTGAGTTCTTTGAAGTGAATTAAGATTCTCATGGGACAAGATAACCAGCAGAGATAGTAGAAGGCCTCACTTTTAGAATGTGTCTAACATGTCTTTATAAGCATGAAATGTGTAATATTTAAAACTTAGCACAATATTTCTGTGATGCTTTTGTCCACAGTATTTTTTAAGTTATTTATTTAGTTATTTTGTAATGTCCATACTCAGTGTGGGGCTTGAACCCACAACCTCCAGACCAGGAGTTGCATGTTCTGACTGAGCCAGCCAGGCACTGCTGAAGTATTTTTAAGTATATTTCTTTTGCTGCCACGGCCTCCAAGATTCTTTTTTTTTTTTTAATTTATGTATTTTTTAACTTTATTTATTTTGAGAGAGAGTTCAAACAGGGAAGGAGCCAAGAGAGAGGGAGAGAGAATCCCAAGGAGGCTCTGTTAACTGTTAGTACAGAGTCTGATGTGGGGCTCGAACTCACAAGCTATGAGATCCTTACCTGAGCTGAAATCAAGAGTTGGATGTTTAACCAGCTAAGCCACTCAGGTGCCTTTTTCTTTCTTTTTTTCAATAACAGCTCTATTGGAGATTAATTCATATACCATAACATTTACTTTTTAAAGCTATAAAATTCACTGAGTTTTAGTATATTCACAAGGTTGTGGAACTGTCACCAGTATCTTTTTTTTTTAATATTTGTTTATTTTTGAGAGAGAGAGAACGAACATGAGTGGAGGAGGATCAGAGAAAGGGACAGACACACAGACAGAAGCAGGCTCCAGGCTCTGCGCTGTCAGCACAGAGCCTAAATGCAGTGCTTGAACCCATGAACTGCAATATCATGACCTAAGCCAAAGTTGGACACTTAACTGAGCCACCCAGAAGCCCGTCACCACTAATTATGGAATATTTCACCGCCCCCCCCAAAAGAAATCCTATACCCATTAGTAGTCACTTTCCATTCCTCCTGACTACCCCACCCCCACCCCATGCCCTGACCCCTGGTAATCATTAATCTACTTTCTTTTTCTATGGATTTGCCTATTCTGGACATTTCATATAAATGAAATCATACACACGTGATTCTTTGTGACTGACATCATTCCCTTAGTGTGATGTCTCAAGGTTCATCTACATTGTAGCATATATCAATATTTTATTTTTATGGCTGAGAATATTCCATCATATGGATATGACATTTTGTTTATTCATTAGTTGATGGACATTTGGGTTGTTTCACTTTTTCGCTGTTATGAATAAGGTTACCATAAACATTCATGTACAAGTTTTTATGTGACCGAGGTTCTTTTCAGCTCTAAAATAGGATGCTATGAGTATATATATCCCATGAGCTTCTGGATCCTCATTATCATGAAGGAAGTGATAAATATTGTTCTAACTTTATAGCTGGGAATATACTTGAGGCACAGAAAGACACATGGCTTTTTTAAGGCTTTTCTAATTCGGGATTTGTTAGGGTTCCCGAGCTTTAGTTTCAGATTTCTAAGGCAGCAATTAAGGTCACAGGTTTTAGAGATAGACCTGTGGCCAAAGACCAACTCTGCTATTTACTAGTTGGGGAAACAGGCAAAAGTTTTTTCACTTTTTTAAACCTTAGTTTTCCTTCTTTGTAAAATGGAAACAATTATATTATCACTATTACCTGATCGTGTTAGGAGGAGTAAATGAGAGAATATATGTAAAGCTCTAACCACAGTGTCTAGCATATTATAAGTGCTCAATAAATGGTAACATGATTTATAATTACCATGTCTTCATTAGATAGAGTTTCTGTATCTAGTCAAACGTTGATTCTTTAACCTGAATGCAGAAGAGTCTCATGTCCCCAACATATATTAGTACTTGGAGGTGTTTTGTCTCATAGTTAGATCTGTATTCAAAAATATCTGAGTAAAAATGACCCTCCTAGGAATTTAGTCAGCCTTTTGTATCCCCTAGACACTGCCTCATATACCCTGGGGATGCTGTTATTCCAGCTTATTTGTTCCTTTGGACAAAATGCCCTCTAAATTCTCTTCTAGCTTCTAAAATTCTGTGAGACTCATTTTTGTGGAACTCAGGCTGACATATTTGGAGAAAGCGTAATTCACTTTCGAGTTAGAAAGTAACACCATGATGGCATTGACAGTGGGGTTTAATAGGACATGTTAGACACTTTATTCTGCCTCAAAAGTGGAAAGATGGGGCACCTGGGTGGCTCAGTCGGTTAAGTATCCAACTCTTGATCTCAGCTCAGCAGGGTCATGAGTTCAATTGCCGCGGGTATAGAGTCCATTTAAAAAAAAAAAAGTGGAGGGGCACTTGAATCGTTCAGTCAGTTGCGCATCTGACTTTAGCTCAGGTTATGATCTTGCAGTTTGTGAGTTTGAGCCATGCACCAGGCTCTCTGCTTATCAGCACAGGGCCTGCTTTTTTTTTTTTTTAATGTTTTATTTATTTCTGAGAGAGAGAGAGAGACAGCGTGAACAGGGGAGGGTTAGAGAGAGAGGGAGACACAGAATCTGAAACAGCCTCCAGCCTCTGAGCTAGCTTTCAGCACAGAGCCCTACATGGGGCTCGAACCCACGAACCTTGAGATCATGACCTGAGCTGAAGTCAGACGCTTAACCGACTGAGCCACCCAGGCGCCCTGAGCCTGCTTTGGATCCTCTGTGCTCCCCTGCCACTCCCTGCTCTCAAAAATGAAAAAAATTTTTTTTTAATTCTTTTAGTGTTTGT